CCCCCCCCCCCAGTGGCCAGTCAGCAATGGGGGGGGTCCCCCATGGCTGATCACACCAACCGGGGGGGCTCCCCCTATGACCAGTCATGCATGCAGATCCAGAAGCAATGCTCCGTCTAAGCTGGCTCTAAGAAGAAATGTTGCCCAGAAATGCCAATGGCACACCTGGAAGGGCCAGGGACGCACCTGGAAGGGCCAGTGGCATTTTTCCTAGTGCCTCCACTCTCAGGGGGGGCACCAGAGCTCTTGCCTGCTTCCCCTGCTTGCTGCCTAAGCAGGGAACACTGCTGTGAGGGGGTGCACCAGTGCTCTCAGAGGGTGCACGTGCACCCCTGTAAACCCCCTACGCATCGCCACTGCCCTGACGTCTGCTGGGAGGGCAATACAGCAGTGTGCAAGCAATCAAGGATGTTTTTGGAGTGTATTGGGGGCAACTTCCTGGTGCAAGTGCTGGAGTGGCCAACTAGTGCCGTGTTCTTCTTGACCTGCTGCTCACAAACAGGGAAGAATTGGTGCGGAATGTACTAGTAGATGGCAACTAGGGCAGCAGTGACCATGAGATGATTGAGTTAAAGATCCTGAGGAAAGGAAGGATGGAGAACAGCAGAATTAGAACCTTGGACTTCAGAAAAAGCAAACTTCAACTTGCCCAGGGAACTCATGGGCAGGATCCCATGGGAAGCCAGTCTGAGGGGGAGAGGAGTCCAGGACAGCTGCCTGTACTTTAAAGCAGCCTTACTGAGTGTGTAGGAATAAACCATCCCAATGTGCAGGAAGACTAACAAGAGGGGCAGAAGACCAACTTGGCTTAGAAGGGAACTTTTTAGTAAACTAAGTCACAAAAAGGAAGCTCTGACAAACAACTAGGGAGGAGTATAGGAGTATTGCTCTGGCATGCAGGTATGAAGTCAGGAAGGCAAAAGCACAATTGGACTTGCAGCTAGCAAGGGATGTAAAGGGGAACAAGAAGGGCTTCTATAAGTATGTTGGTAGCAAGAGGAGGATCATGGAAAGTGTGGGTCGCTTACTGAGTGGAAGAGACAACCTAGTGACACAGGATGCTAAAAAGGCTGACGTAGTCAATGCCTTTTTCAACTTGGTCTTCACAGACAAGGTCAGTTCCCAGACTACTGAACCTAGCAGCAGAGTTTGGGAAGGAGAGGAGTAGCCAGAATTGGTAAAAGAACAGGTTAGGGACTATTTAGAAAAGCTGGACATTTACAAGTCCATGAGGCTGGATGGAATGCACACCAGGGTGCTGAGGAAGTTGACTGATGTGATTGCAGAGCCGTTGGCCATCATCTTTGAAAACTCATGGTAATCAGGAGACATTCCGGATGACTGGTGAAGGGCAAACATAGTGCCCCTAGTTAAGAAAGGGAAAAAGGAAGATCCAGGAAACTACAGATCAGTCAGCTCACCTCAGTCCCCAGAAAAATCATGGAGCAGATCCTCAAGGAATCCATTTCTAAGCACTTGGAGGAGAAGGTTGCAATTACTATTGGGAACAGTCAGCATGGATTCACCAAGGGCAAGTCATGCCTGACCAACCTGATTGCCTTCTATGATGAGATGACTGGTATGGAGGTGGAGAGACCAGCAGATGTGATATACCTTGATTATAGCAAGGCTTTTGGATACAGTCTCCCACAACATTCTTGCAGGGAAGCTAAGGAACTACAGGCTAAATGAATGGACTGTAAGATGGACAGAAAAGTGGCTGGAGCATTGGGCTCAGAGGGTAGTAGCCAATGGCCTGATGTCTAGTTGCTCAGCCGGTATCAAGTGGAGTGCCTCAAGGGTTGGTCCTGAGACCAGTTTTGTTTAATACTTTCATCAGCATCCTGGCAGATGGCATAGAGTGCACCCTCAGCAAGTCTGCAGATGACACCAAGCTGGGGGGAGTAGTGAATATGCTGGAGGGTAGGGCTAGGATTCACACTGACCTAGGCAAAAATTGAGGATTGGGCCAAAAGAAATTCTGTGTGGTTTAACAAGGACAAATGCAAAGTCCTGGGCTTAGGATGGAACAATCTCATGCATGGCACAGGCTTGGAGATGACTGACTTGGCAGCAGCTCTGCAGAAAAGGACCACAGGTTACAGTGGACAATACACTGAATATGAGCCAAGTGTGCTCCTGTTGCCATAGCTAGTGGCATACTGGGCTGCATTGGTAGGTGTGCTGCCAGCAGGTCAAGGGAAGTGATTATTTCCCTCTGTTCAGCACTGGTGAGGCCACATCTGGAGTATGTGTTTAGTTTTGGGCCCCCCACTATAGAAAGGATGTGGACAAACTGGACAGAGTCCAGCGGAGGGCAACAAAAATGGTGAGGGGGCTGGGGCACATGACTTAGGAGGAGAGGCGGAGGGATCTGGGCTTATTTAGTCTAGAGAAGAGAAGACAGAGAGGATTTAAAAACAGCCTTAAACTGAAGGGGGGTTTGAAAGAGGATGAAGCTAGACTGTTCTTAGTGGTGCCAGATGACAGAACAAGGAGCAATGGTCTCAAGTTGCAACAACGGAAGTTTAGGTTAGATATTAGGGAGAATTTTCTCACTAGGAGGGTAGTAAAACACTGGAACAGGATACCCAGAGAGGTTGTGGACTCTCCATCTTTGGCGGTGTCATAGATTTCATAGACATTAGGGCTAGAAGGGACATCAGAAGATCATCGAGTCCAGCCCCCCACCCAAAGGGCACGAAATCAGCTGGGGTCATAGGATCCCAGCAAGATAAGCATCCAATTTGCTCTTGAAAGTGTTCAATGTAGGTGCTTGAACCACCTCCGATGGCAGGCTGTTCCAGACCTTGGGGGCTCAGACAGTAAAGAAATTCTTCCTTATGTCCAGCCTGAAATGGTCTTGTACTAATTTATGACCATTCAACCTCGTCATCCCTTGGGGTTCTCTGGTGAACAAACGTTTCCCCAGATACTGGTGGTCACCCCTGATAAACTTATAGGTGGCCATCACATTACCCCTGAGCCTGCCCTTTTCCAGGCTAAAGAGCCCCATGGCTCTCAGCCTGTCATCATAAGGTCTGCTTTCCTGACCTCTGATCATGCACGTGGCTCTTCTCTGGACCTCTTAAGCCTGGGTTTTTAAGCCCAGGCTAGACAAAGCCTTGGCTGGGATAATCTAGTTGGGGATGGTCCCGCTTTGAGCAGAGGGTTGGACTAGATGACCTCCTGAGGTCCCTTCCAGCCCTAATTTTCTATGATTCTATAATTCTCTGACTTAGCACTTCAATTCTGTGGCATGTCTTATTCAGTAACTGTTTTCCAGCTATTAAAACAAGATCTCTGCATTTAAAAACAGAAGAAGCGACCAGTTTGTCCTTCAGTCTGTACTTTAATAACGTTTCACTTGTGACCTTATTGTCATGATTATGCATAATCTATGCGTGTACAAAACAACAAGGAGTTTGATCCTCTGTCAAAAATTGCCTTCTAAAAATCAACTTCCTCCTTCACACTAAAGGTGTCCTTTATAACCGTAAAGGAGATGAAAGGCGCTCCAGTTTCCTTCCTGTAGCCTCTTCTATCCTTAAGTACACAGATTACCTTTGTGTAGTATTGAAGCTAACTATCTTCTGGCTCCATTAAAATAAAACAGATATCAAAGAGTAATGCTGACTAGCACCATAGTATCCAAGTATCATATGTGAGAAGCAAGTTACATTTCTCCTGATATCTGTAATATAATAGATATACTTTGCTTTTAAAAAGCAAACATTGTTAAAAAAGAATCTGGACTCTAAGGCCGAAGTCCCCAACCCAGAGGGAAGAGAGAACAGACTCTTAAATGTCTAAAATGCCTGTACAGGATCATCAAGTTAGGTTCGAGGCAGAAACCCCACTTTAACTCCAGCAGTTATGGAGCCCTTAATTCAATGTATGGAAAGACAATCTCGGGTGATTTTTATTTTTTTTTAAATTTTAGATGCTGCAACATTTAGGCCACTTAACATGGTTAAATTATTTTTTTTTCTATGAAGGGAGCTCTTTAAGATTCTTCCAACCACTAATACAGCGTTAGATACAACATTTAAAAATATCTGCCAGATAAAGAGATCATAGACAAGTTAAAAAAAGCTATTGTTAGAGTTTCTTTGTACTGGTCATTCATGACAAAGCCCATTAATACAGGTCAGAGTTGTTTTAGGTTTGCACGAAGTTAGTGCTTTGGTATGAAAAAGGAAAAAAAATACACAAACCACACACACTTTATCCAATTTTTAAAGCTGATCATTTTAAGCTACAGCTACGCCAGTACTCATTAATGGAGCAAGGGAGTTTTCAGATGTAAAGCACCCTATGGCTAAGGAAAAGGTTCAGTCTTAACTCCAAGACAAAGATTAAGATTTCACATTTCCACAGAACCCACCAAACCCCATTACAACCATTAGTGGTCCTCAGCAAGCTCGTAGGCATTTGTTCTTGCTAATATTTCTTACATTTTACTTGCATGCATTTCAGAAAGGCTTTTAAAGCAGTATCTCATTTTGGGCATGAATTAGGTATTTCATTTTCCCCACGCAGATTTCAGGTTAGCTAAAGCAACACTTACTGCTAACTGTTCGCTGATAGAGTTGGACTTGGCACGAACAGCTGGCTCGCTGAAAGGTGAAACAAGGATATGTTGATGTTAAAGACTACTCTGCATTTCTCAATAATCCTTTTTGTCAAATAACAGCACCACCAACTAAAATTAATTTACTCAGCACGAGATGCATCATTTCATTCATGTTTAAAAGACTCTTCGCTAGCATGAGTTAGAAATGGAAAGCCTAGGTTCTGGAGCACCATTTTGCGACAAATTCAATGGCTGTTCAACTGCAGAATACCAAATACCAAACTCTGGTTTACTTAAATGAAAAAATGAACCAGTTTCACACTGAACAGCTCATTGTACCAAAATAAGTATTTCTAATAACATGGGAATGCAACTTGCTAATAACATTATTTTAGTTCCAGCATTTTATTTTGTAAGAGAACCAGATATTCAATTTCTGTCCCACTAACTGAACACTATATGTCCCATATTCTAGTTTAATAGACTGGATAATTCTAAAGCAAAGGAAGTCCAAACATCAGACATTCCCTTTGAGTTATTTTGGGCAGCAAATGTTTCTGTAGTGCCGACTTGAACAATGAACTTAACAGACTGTTGTCTGCATGACAAGCGATGCATAAACATGTCATTATATAAAAGATTATTGAACACCATTTTTTAAATGCATGGTTGAAAACAGTGGAAGATCTGTCGCATGATTTTCAGTGTAATGGTATCTAACACCAATGTAGGTTTATAAACAAGAAAAAACAAATCCTAATGATACTGTCTACTAGGGCTGTGAAAAACTTGGGCAGCCGTTTTGTTTCAGAGGTGTTTTGGTCTGTTTCAGCACCTGAAACACCGAACCCGAAACGAAACAGAAAACACTGAAACGTCTCCAAAACAAAACCAAACCATCTGAAACGTTTGGGAAATGTTTTGGAATGTTTCAGAGGCACCCCCCGGGAATAATCCAGCACAGCCCCGCAGCCCTCCTTTTAAAGTGCCGGGAGGCTGGGGCCAGGCAGGGCAGCCATGGGGGCTTCTCCTGTGGCTCCCCCAGCCAGGGAATGGCAGGCACAGCCAGGGGAGCTGGGGAAGACCCTGCAGCTGCCCAGCTGTGTCTGAATCTCCCCAGCTGATCTGAATCAGCACTGAAACTCCAAGACAGATTCAGCTGAATCGAAATGGAACAGTGATCCAAAATACCGAAATGAATCACTGTCCTTCTGAAATGGCTGAATCCAAAATGGAAATGAAACATAGCCGTTTCGCACAGCCCTATTGTACACAAGCACTAAATTCTAGCAAGCTCTGGGTTCGTTCTGTTCCTGGTTCTCTTACCCAGGCTTTGGAGGTATGGTAGATGGAGGCAATCCAACAGGGTCTGAGGCAAAGCCATCCGAATTGGGCACTGGAGAAGGTGCGAGAGAATCCCTAGAACCAACACTCTGCCCATCAGAGCCAGACTCTTTTACCAGCTTCACCTGAGGAAACCGTGACAACATATTACACAAACCTTCTTTTCTAGGTCCTGAAACAGCTCTTCAGGATTCTGCTCCATTCTGGCCAATGTTCCTTCAAAAAAAACCACTGGCCAGAGTAAAAAGTTCACAGAACTACCAGGGTTGAAGTTTCCCTTCTCCTTCACATCTTGATTGTTATGACTGATGTTTTCCTGAATACCTGTCATCTAGGAGGCAGAACATTATTTTGAACTAGTGAACTGCCCATCAAGAATGACAGGGAAGGAGAGAGAAGCGTGGGGCAGGCAGGGACGGAGGGGTGGGAGAGCTTGCTAACCCTAATCCCCTCCCCACAGCCACCTCCCAGGAGCTGGGGGGGAAGCAGCTTGCCCTGCCGTCCCCTCCATCATGCCCCGCCTCACCGCTGCCTCCAAAGAGTGGAAAGGCAAGACCAGCTCTGTCCCCGTCATCACGGCAGTGCTACGCCGCCTCCAGGGAACAGGGCTGGTGGGGGAGGCGGAGCCAGAGGCACTGACCTCACTCCCCCACTCCATCCCATCATGGCGGTGCTCCACCATGCCACTGCCTCCTGTATATAACGCTCTTGGAGCTATCCGATTGGTTGTTTCAGTAACCAGAGTGCTCCAAGTGCATTACAGACAGATGGATGGACTAAGCCCTTTATTATATTAGAATGCTTAGATCAGCTATAATAATTAAAATTTGTCCTGTATTTAGTTCTTTTGCATTTTAATTATTACACTGAGGAGTTGCCACTTTACAGGGCAAGAGATTTTGGCAGCCAGTTTCATAAAATAAAAATATAAAAACATTTAGAAGAAGAAACTCACCCGCTTAACTTCCACCTCAAAAAACAGGGTAGAATCTGGAGGAACACGACCAGGCATTCCTTGAGATCCGTAAGCCAGTGCTGGAGGAATAATGAGAAACCTCCTTCCTCCTTTCTTCATCCCCATCATTCCTTCTTCCCAACCCTTTGAGTTTCAAAAATGCAACAGATGAAAAAAATTGTAAGTAAAACAGACTAATCACAACTACCTTTGGCCTTAATTTTGTAAAGATTCTTCTGGGCTGGATTTATAACTGTCCTGCAGCCTGTACTAAAAAGTTTATTGTAAAGCTTTGTGAAGCTGCACTACGGCTCCATTTAAAAGAAGGAAATTTTAAAGAGGCAGAATCCACCACGTCTAACTGCTTCAGTGTTAATTTAGAGGAATCAGTGCTGCATGCATGTAGTGGAATATTTTGCAGACACTGCTGTCTGTGACATGAAAGTGAAAGAGGCTGGCAAGTTTGGATAGGCCCTGTGTGTGTTAACTTATGGAACCTTTATAGGTCATATTGCTATTTTAAAGACATTAGTCCCATGCTGAGCTGTGTATAGAAATCCTTGGGCTGCACTTAGCTTGCAGGGCATATTTTGACAACTCCTACTTTAAGGTATCATTCTTACCAATTAAATGCCAATTAATAGTCTGTCACAGGACAGGCAATTATTTGGGCCTACAGGCCACACAGGCCGTATTGGGGAGGTGTCACAGGCCAATCAGCATTCTCCCCTCCCCCCTGTGGCTCCTTCCTGCCACCGCCAGCAGCGTCCAGCAGCAGCTGAATGCAGACCTGGCCCCTGGCACCCCCTCTGAATTTGCCCTGACCAGAGCAGGCTAGCTCCAGACCAGCTGGGACCTACGTGCACAACCCCAACCCTGGCCCACCCTGCACCTGCTCCGGATCATCCAGCCATGATAAGCAGCAGCAGTGGCCACTTTTCCCCCCCGTACTCAGCAGGAGCTTTTGCCCAGTCGCTGCTGCTCAGCATGGACAGGTAGTCAGGAGCAGGCTCATGGCAGGCTGGGGTTGGGGCTGTGCACGCAGGTCTGCAGTTGGTCTGCTCCAGCTGGGGCGAGTCTGGAGTGGGTGCAGTGTGGGGTGGGCTGGGCTAGGACTGTGTGTGCAGGTCCCACCCAGTCTCCATGGGGCTGGGGCTGGCGGTGGTGGTAGCCGAAAAGAACCGCTGCTTGGGCTGCCTTGAAGTGGAGTCTAGCTGCGGAGCTGCCCCAGCCCCACCACATGCCCGTGGGCAGCAGAACACCCCATGGGCCAGAAGACACTTGGGCCAAGCAGGACCGAGAGACCTGTTGTGGGCCATTCAAAGTCCCTCCATGGGCCAGGTCTGGCCAATGGTCTGTATTTTGCCCACCCCTCGTCTTTGATAATGTGCAAAACAAGCAAAAAGCAATTAAAACCCCTTTTTAGCTAGCGTCACCTATGACAATGTCCTTCCCATCCAATTAACAAGACAACTGAAACAGTTGCGATTTATGTGAATGCAAGCAAAACAGCTGAAAGCTTTTCAAGATTAGAGACTTTAGTAGAAAATAAAAATAAAATGCCAGATGTTATACCTTGATCACTTTTCCTGATCCCAACTTCAGACGTAACAGCTTATCCTTGTTGACATTTGAGTCAAACACCTGTGGAATTGAAGGTATGAAGAATAAAACAATTAGAATTCCCCAGGTATTTGAAGGAGTAAAGTACTCATCCATAGTAGTTTCCTAATTTCTTATTAGCCAGAAGCCCAAAATTGTGATACAAGGGTAACATTTTGAAACATTCCCAAATGCATGAAGAAATCCACTCACAACAGAGTTATACCCAAATGCCTCAGCAGCTGGTTTGCAAAGCTAGCATGACCACTGCTACATTCACTCTTGTTTGTTTTGATGTCTTTGTTGGATGATACCCATAAGAGTCAATCACAAGCTTCTTGATCTTCCTCCTGCACAGCTATTACACCAGTTTCTATCCTCACCAGTTGAATATCTAATAATCAAAGGAAAGTACTATTGCCCTTTTTTAGGGAAGGCATAAGGTAAAACAAGCAACTAAAAGAACACTTTTAATGTCAAACACAAGTCTCTTTCAGTGAAGGATTTGAAAATGTTACCATATGTTCAGCAAGTACTAGGACATAATATAATCCCCTTTACCTGCCCAAGGCCATTGTTCTGGAACAGCCAACCAGTATAGGCAATTTCTAAAGCATCCCCTCCTTCCACTCCTTGCCCCTCTCCAATGACAAGATCTTGGGACAGTACTGAATCCAACGATGGGCTGCTGTTGCATTTGGCTATGCACACCTGCAAAGGAAGCACAATCATTAGCATATGTAGTCAGCAGGCCAACCATGCCTCTGATTAAACTAAGAGATTGTGCCAGTGTGCAGCTTGTTGGCCTAAGCTTACCTGCTTGCTGAAGTCCATGGCTGCCTTTTCTGACTCAAACATGATTGACCAGTTTTGTCTCTGATCATCATAAAATGTGCTGTAGTTGTTGGGCTGAATCTACAACAAAGAAAACCGGTCCTGAATCAACAGTGCAAATTTGCTCCATTTAACATTTGTAAAACTGAAATTCTTGGAGTTCAGTGAAATGTGTTAGAAGCAGAGAAGTTTTACTGCTTAATAACTAACTGTAAATTATCTTTTATTCCAACACACAGATAAAAATAGATTCTAATATTTGTTAAATATTTACAAAATACTTCTTAGAACTTGGAGTTAAAGAGGGGAGGGACACAAAGTTAGTTCTAAAATCTGCACTTGAGCATTTGGATGTAGACAAACCGATTTTCAGGAGTGAATATACTTGTCTTCCACAGTCAACAGCACTGATGGTCTGTACTTTTAAAAATGTATTCCATTTTTATTTGGGTATGAAGCCATTAATATAGAAGCCTACCTTTAGGAATCTAAGTTTTAGGCCACAATCATTAAGATGACTACCAAACAGGATCAGTCTCTTTTGATTTTGGTGAAATATTTCAGCAAACATATTGCTCTAGGCTTTTGTTTATAAACAAAGTTATACTATCCAAGATCTAAAAATTGCTCTACAAAAAAAAATACTGAAAATGATGGACTGGGGAGATAAAGACAAGGGGGAGTATTTTTAAGGAGATCAAAGTGTGGAATCAGTTTGATTTCTTTCCTGGAGCTTAATACTGACAAATAAAACAGCATTTCAGGATTCTAGTATTCTCTGAAACTGGAGGAGAGCTGGAATGTTGTTTTCAGAAAGATTACATTTCAACGCTTGCAAAAATCTAGTTATACTTTTTATTGCATTTTTCTGTCAGTGTCAGATATTTCGTAGAACTGAAGCATTTGCTAGCACTCTCTCCAATCTTTGTTTCCTTCATTCCCATAGTCCTTTAGCGTAAAAAACATTAGAAGGCTGAATTTTGGGTTTGGTCATGCCCACTGCAAGAATATTAAAGCAAAACACTATCATACCTGTAATACAGAGGAAATGATACTTACCTCCACCATAAAGTGCTTTGAGATCTATAGATTAAAAAGTACTGTGCAAGAGGTAGATATAATAAGTGTGCTGTGTTATTTATGCGATAGGAAAAGAAGGAATAGTTTATACAGCACTTTATATGATATGTATAAATCAAAGGTGTCTGGTCATGAGCACCACATGAGTTCATGCTAAAGACAACATTATAGATGAGAGTATCCTAAAACTGTACCGCACACAGTTAGCTAGAGTGCTGGATGCTTAAGTGAAGACAAGCGTGCGTGACTATGCAAACAGATTACCCAACTGTCTTACCGTGAGTACAAACCCTGAATGGATCCTGGCAGCTGTAATCTGTTGCTGCTGACTTATGTAAAGGAGGATTCTGTACTGGATTCCACAAGTGAGGAGAAAGGGAGGAGGGAATGAGGAAAAAACAATAAAACAAAACACAATTAGCAAAAACTCCAAACCTGACAAATTCTGCTGTGTGCCATCAGTGACCTTAAGGCCAGAACTGGTTTGATCAATATACCAATAAATACTTAAATTTAGCAATGAAGTTTAACAGCTGAAGTGTAAATAGTCTGCACTGTACTTGATCTATGTGATTCATATCACACCTTAAAAAGAATGGACAAATTAATTTAAACTCTTATCCATATACAGGCTACTTGGGCAAAAAATCCACAGTCCTTTAATGTTTAAGCATGGACAGATCTCACTTTGTTTAGGAGAAAACAGTGAACTTGGCTCACAGCCTCTCTTCCCACTACTGTGCAATGTAATAACCATAAAAAACTGCCATAATACATGTATGTAATAAGAAAAGGTAGACTAGGTGCTCAACTTAAGCTTTAGGTAAGACAGCTTAATTATGTAGCCGTAACAACACATTAAACTCTAACTTTAGTTTCCTAAGTTTTTTGTTCAACATAAAACATGTTCTCACTTCTTTTCCACATCTACAGTAAAGTACAGTGAATAACTAGCAAGATCATCAGGAGAGTAGTAAAGCACTGGGACAGGTGACCCAGAGAGGTTGTGTAATCTCCATTCTTGGAGGTTTTTAAGACCCAGGCAGACAAAGCCTTTGCTAGGATAATATAGGTGGGGATGGTCCTGCTTTGAACAGGGGGTTGGACTAGATGACCTCCTGAGGTCCCTTCCAACCCTAATTTTCTATGGTTAAACAGAGATGACTAGGTTATTAGAGAGCAGTCAGTTAAACCTTAACCTGTAATGCTAATATGTCTGTTAAGGACATAGATGCACACTTGCATGCACTGCTAAGCACACACTAAAGTATACTAACACACTAAAGGCACACACTAAAAGACTGCATTATTACTTTGCATCTTACTGGCAGACTCTGTTCCTGCTGCTCCCAAGATCTTTTTCCAGTAAAAAAAGAAAAAGAGGGCCAAAAGCCTTGAAGGCAGTTTACTGTAAAAAGCACTCCCATAAAACAAACAATCTATGGAGACAATAGGAAAAAGAGGGATGCAGAGTAAGGGGCAGACCAGGTTATTTTATTTTCTTTTTTAAACAAAGCACCCTGCTAAATAGTCCACTGTGCTATTCTTTTCATAGAGGGAGAATAGAGTTAATAGCAGGTCCAAAAACTGACAGTCGTGAAGTACAGTGTATCACATCCTGTTTTATAATTTGAATTCAACTATGAGGTATGTACATTTCCCCCACTGTGACTATGTTTGAGATCCAATTTACAGATACGCATTTGCAACCTATTGAACTAGTTTCTCTCAGACACGATGGTTAGACACTGTCTCTTCTCTAATGCATTTCAATTTTGAGTGGGAAGTTGTCCTTCCAGCTGACTTGCGGAAGAGAACTGTAGTATAAAAACTGTTGCTGGTTCAGTATCTGAACTGCAAGCAGTCTACCAGCATAAAAAACCGCCAATAAGAGGCAGAACTAAGAATGCTGACATCAAAAAGTGAGAAGATGGAAGCATGGTATATGAAATGCAATGCTGCAGGAGTTGTGTTCCTCTTTGTGCATGCTAAAAATAAATTCAATTTCTCTCACCTCTTTGGTGACATGGTTCCCCACCACAGCTGCTCCATACTTGCCTTGCTTCATATACTGCCCATTCATGCTAGAAAGCAAAGTGAGTTAGCTGCAAGTGTGTTCCCTTTTCAGATTTCCCAATATTTATAAGTTTTCTGTTGAATATCCACAGTTCTACTTCTCATAGTCTCCTGAGCTAAACAAAGGTTTTCTAACATGTAGCATTTGTAAGACATGGACAACTACCTACAGGAATGAGAACCTCTTTCCATTGCCCATAACATTTTCCCTCTGTGATCCAATCCTAACATTGGATTCCAGGCCTCTGGTAGTGAAGGGATAGTGTAGAAAGCCTGCTGTATACTTACTATCGATAGGCATGAACTGCAGTAGCAATGAATACGGATGGGGCTCCCAAAGTAGCTGCAGCTGCAGGTGTCTTTTGGGCCGGCTGACCTGCTAAGGAAAAAAACGAAAAACAGCAGCAGCTGTCGACTTCCCTCCACTAGATTCAGTTAATGTGTTTCCTAATACAGCAGTGTTATTACAAATTTAAGACTGAACTGATTTATCTACACTGGTCACCAAGTTAAGAGCAAGAAGTTGACTTGGAGATGTATCCAGATGATAGTAATAAATCTATTTTTGAATTCACGTAGAACAAGTAGTACCTTTCAGTATCTTCCCAAATCATTCCTACCAATGGACAAAGCCAAATTCAGGAGAGGAACAACAGTCAGAGTGAGCTATTCTCTGACAAAGTGCACTCTTACTAACACTAGAACAAATGCTGCAGATCTGTCTGAGCAGTAAGTCTCTAGTGGTAGGAAGGTAAACAGGAACTGCAACCATCAGGATCTTTGTGCTACTGCAAAAAGCTGGCATCATTTCCTTGGGTAGATGATTAGCTAAGAAAGGTCATTGAACAACATTAATGGTCTATATTTTTCAAATAAAATCAAAGAAAATTATGGGTGAAGTCCAATTCTCAGATCATCTTGTGTCTGAGCAAGGATCTCTTCTGAGCATTTCCTTGGTTGCTCTTATCCATTTTAGCTAGATTTTACTACTTTTATATCATGTTATGTACTTTTAAGTAAATTCAACTTCCCCTATCTTGCCACCCCTAGTACTTCCTGTGGTTGGAGAAAGGGGAAGACAATGGGGAGAATGCGACTCAAAAAGCTTATTCTATTCCAAACGTGACACCAGTATGATGTCTGACTGTGGCCAACAGCCTCTGTACTTCACTACTACTTCTTATAAGGGAAGGGCAATACTTGTGTACCCTTTAGATGAAAGTGTGCGCAACGTTATGCTTTTATCATAAAGAAAACATGCAGTCCTACCAGGATCCTGATGGGCCTGCAAATCCTTCTGATCACAAGAATGACAACTGTTCTAAACAGTAGTAATCCAAGTTTCTTGCATTACACTCAACACTTATGGAATGCTGTTTTGCTTCACATTCTGTCCTCCACTGCATGCTACAAAATGTACTGTATATTTTGAAAACTTTTTACCATTAACATTTTACAATACACATTTTCGGTATAAATTTACCATATTCAAGCATTAGCAGTTGTAACATGGTGTAGGAGGAATAATGTTTGAGTTACGGAAGCTAGGAATAGCTCATAGTACAACAGGTTTTGTTGTTTTTGTTTTGTTATTTTAAGGGACTTGGTAGACAAGTATTTGAGCAATAGTAAATAACCGTGAGACAAGCAAAAATATTAACTTCAGGAGCAGGTCAGATACTCTGGGCTGGGGGAAGTTAGAACCTGCCTTTTTGGTGGGTAGAACATCCAGTTGATTTGAACACATTGCTCTGGTACTCTACACTGTTCAGCTAATCAGTTCTTATGACTAGGCAGGAGTTCAAATAACACTAGGGCCAGTTTATACATCTCAAAGACCAGAATTTGTTCTAATGCCCTGCCTGGACAAAAACACAAAGACAAAATCAAGCACTGAAGTTCAGCAAACGAAGAAGTGTATCTTTAGTAACCAGGTTCTTTGAAGCCTTTGTGAAACCCAGATATCTTGTGCTCTTACTCAGCAGGCTGCTAGCCTATGTACGTATACTAATGTAAGTGATGTTATCCACGGTTTCTATTTCAGTCTGAGAAAAAACAATTTCCCTATAGCAAGCTGAACAGTTATAAGTTACTTGACTTCACAAGGGTTGTAAGGAGCTACTCGTATAAATATTTTGGCCATCTTGAACCAGATAGTTTTCCTGTGCCCAATTATACCCCTATTCTGCGGCAGTAGGACAACACCAATATGAAGCCAATTCAGATGCTGACCATTCTGATATGCACATGCTATCAGGAAAAGGGGCTGAAATGTTGTCAGTGAGTACATAAGAAATCATAAGAGGTAGGAGGGCATCTCATGACACAAACTTTAGCTAGGCATTTCTCCTAAGCTGCTCAGCAGTGAAAAACTTAGTATTGACACTGAAGCCTAAAGATGGGCTGGTAACTCTTAAATTGTCAATGAGACATACAAGATAGTTCACCAACCTGCAATTGCCAAGATATTACTTCTTTTTAATCACATTAGCTTTAAACATGAATTGAATACATCACCATGAGGCTGAGGAGGTTCTGATAAGAGCAGAAACTACTGGGCACAATTCCATTGCAAAAAGTAAAGTCTGTGGCAAATTCCAAGGCATTTCAGGACACAGAAGGCAGTGTCTAAGGATGTACATTACTCATTAGAACAGTATGCTATTGAGTTAGTTAGACTTTGCCTTGGTTCTCTATTTAATCAGCAACATACATACCTAGAGAGTCTGCTCTCCATGCTTGCACTCAATTACTTGTACTCACCAGGCGTTGCTGCTGCTGCTTGACCTTTTTTAGGTTGTTTTGGTGCAGTATATTGGAAGAATTCATTACCATGGCTTGATACATTCTGATCCAGTCCAAAGAGAGAAGCCAATCTGGCACTGTTAAGAGAAAAAGGAACATTCACTTTGTTACTTGACACAGATCCCTCCTGGTTTCCTAGGGAAAAGGAAAAGCTGTTAACTTTACTAAATTATGAAATCTTAGTTGTTATTTTGGAGACACTCAAGTGGACTGAAATTAAGCTGCCTTTTCAAAACCAAGTGGTTAGTCATTCCTTGAGCTGATGTTGTATTTGCACAATTAAATAATTTTAGCTGTTTGTAGTGGAGATTTATATAGTACATCCATTAGTCATTTCAGCCTCAAAAGCTGTTACAGGGAACACTTAAGATTGAAAGAAATGAAAAAGAATGACAACTTTAAGACAGTGCACCCAATTACTTGTACTAAAACAAAGCTATTCAATCATTAGTTGAAAAAGCAAAAGCTGTTACTTCAAGGAAAAAAAAGCTACTTCCCTAATTTCTATAAGTTTTGCTAAACGCTCCCTTGTGAATACCAAAAAGATCCATTCTGCCCTTAACCTGCAAAAATGGAAGATCTCTGATCGGAGAATGGAATTTAATTTGATGGGCCAAACGTATGTGCCCCATGTGTAGATTTGTGCAGGCCATATAATCAGCAATTGTATTGTTTTAAATTCTTCAAGCTTATGTAATCACTTCAGCAACAGCAGATCAAGCAACTGAAACAAACAGGAGGAAAGTGCAACAATAAAGGAAAAGAAAAAAAAAAGTCAACTTGCTCTATACCAGCTTAAGAAGCTGGTCACCGTGTGCTTGTGCAAAGATTCAAGCAGCTGCATATTAACTTCTGAAGAGCCACACGTGGCTCTGGAGCAGCAGGTTGGCTACCCCTGCTCTATACTAACAAATAGCTAAACAGAACCACCGTGTTTAAAAACAATGATATTTTGGTAGTTAATATAAAAGTTTTTAAATGAAGAAATCTGTTACTAAACCAAACACTAGTTCTAATTCCATCTTGTATTATGAAAAGGACACTGAATATACAAATAAGAGGAACTTAAAACCAGATTCAGTAGGGTGGACCACTTCTAGTTCTTTGGCAGCTTTCAACTGGCTGTATGGCCATGAGAGCAAGAGGAAGTAACACTTGCACACAAGAATTTTTGGTAAACTCAAGAACGGTCTGACTAACCAAAAAAAATCTATAAATGACTGGCTTTTGGAAGAGACAGGGCTGATAGATGAACTGAAAGTGAGTAAATATTAGTATGATATCATTGTGTGGCTAGTTGCTATTAACATCCAGAAGCCTGTAACAGCACATTATTATTGCAAGACAGATGACTGTTATTCCAATATCTAGCTGTTTTAAGTCTTTGTAGGCAACTTATTCAGATGAGACCTACTTCCAGTCAGTTAACCACATACTGTACAACATGATCTAGTTGAAAAAAGTACATTGAAAGTTGTGTAAAGACACACTTAAAACAGTTTAGAAGTTTTCTTGATGGCTACTACCCCATACCATCTCCCGTATTCAGACTAGAAAAGCACGGATCCAATAACTTTTCATCTCTCTCCTGCTACATCTTTAATTTTTACAGTTCATGATATAACTACATCTGTCAGCTTTACTTCTGTTTCTCTATTAATAACAGACTACTGCTATCTGGGTTTAAAACAAAAAAAAAACAAAAAAGAGTTAACATCTCTCAAAGACACCTTGGTTTGTCAACATTTTTTAAAGGAGCCTGAGGTTTTTAAAATCAACACCTGCAACTAGGGGCATATATTTTACTTAAAGCACATAGTGTTTTCATTAACACTTTTCAAGCAATAGAATATAAACACAAAAGTTAGTCATGATGATTTAATATCTTCTTAAGATACACTAAGAAAAGAAACATAGAAAATATATATGTTTAGAAGAACAGTCTAGAAAAACATTAAATTTATAACACTTATAACTTTTAGCGTCAGAGAAAACCAGATAGCAAAAAAGAAAAACATTATCCAGCAATATAAAACTGGAGTTGTGATGAAGTTTTGGAAACCACTGTGCCTCAGGATTCAATTTTAGTTATTCCTAATTTGATTAAGACTTAGTTTAGGCAGTATCTGTTTATTTTACCCTGTATTTTAGAGAGAGTTCACTGGACTTCCTTACTTTATTACTTACTTCAAATGAAAATCACTGCATAGTGAGCTCAATCAGTTCACTGTAAAAGCAAATGCAAATGATTCGTTCTTGAATCCTCTGACCTACTGCTCACAAACAGGAAAGAATTGGTGGGGGATATGGAAATGAATGGCAAGTTGGGCAGCAGTTACCACACGATGGTTGTAGTCAGAATCCTGACAAAAGGAAGAAAGGAGAGCAGCAGACTAGGAGCCCTAGACCAGTGCTTCCCACCCAGTGTGCCATCAGAAATGAACAGGTATGCCGCAGAATTTTGCCATGGCAATGAGCTACAATAGGTATAAGGATGGGGAATGCCTTAACAGGTGTGCAGTGGAAATTTTTTATTAACGTAAGTGTGCCTTGGGCTGGAAAAGCTTGGGAAACACTGCCCTAGACTTTAGAGAAGCAGCCTGAGTCCCCTGGGGAACTGATGGGCAGGATCCCCTAGGAGGCCAGTCTGAGAGGGAGAGGAGTCCAGCAGAGCTGGTTGTATTTTAAAGAAACCTTCCTGAGGGCACCGGAACAAGCCA